AAATACTTAAGTGATTTGTAACCCAACACCAGCCAAAATTGATCACTCGGGTAACACAGCTCTGTCTGCTGGATACCTAGGCAGAGTAGGTGTGTTCATGTAAATACAGTCTGGTCCTGAAGCCTTTCCACCCACCACTGGCTCATCATTAGCTGTCAGAGGAGAGCTCAATCAGACCTTGCTTATAATAATAATTTGAAATTATTAGGTAGGCCAATATAACCTAAACAAATGTGTCCACATTGTCATAATTAACAGCTGTATGAGGAAGCTAATCTTTGTTCATACTTTTCAAACCCATTATGCTTTCCCAGGTACAAGTATTTTCCCATATACTGTATATGCTTTTAAAGTGTGTATTAATGTTTCAATTTCAACTCAAATTTCCAACCAACAACTAAATTGGCAACAATGCATGTAACTGGGAGGAGGGGTGTTGGAGAAATTCAGGAGGGGTGTACACCCCCACCCCTGCCAGGGGAAACTAGGGAAATCCCTGCCTGGAAAGGAAGGCCAGGGCAGGGGAGTTTAATCTCACCATGTGGAAGAGGTGAAAGTGTATTAAAATAAAGGCCAGGGATACAGAGAGCCAATCCACATAGCCCACGGAGCCAGGGCAAAACGGCCTTACAATACATTAGTTACTAAAGCATCATGCAGTGAGCAGTATTATATTGCATACGTTCCAAGGCCAGCAGGGTACTGGGGTCATCTAGTCTGAACTCCTGCATAACACAGGCCATAGGACTTTGAGTCAGGGAGCATACTTTTAGAGCTACTGCTATTGCACAAGCTGCAGTGGTGTGCGCAAGTCAGGTTCACAGTTGGACCCCTAAACCATGTGGAAAATCTGCTCTTTAAAGTGCCATCATTAGGCTATGGCTGCAGACCATTCTCCAATTTGCTGAGTTGCTGGACTAGGACAGAGTTACATGTGGAAGGTTCTCTCTGGCTGTAAAAAAACAAAGGGCTGGTCTACACTGGCAATGCTAAAGCGCTGCCACGGCAGTGCTTTAATGTGCCTTGTGTGGTCGCAGCGCTCTCCCAGCCCTCAAAAAACACCCCCCCTCCCCACACACACACACAAGCACACTTCCACGAGGGGCACAGCTCCCAGCGCTGGGGCACTGTCTACACTGGTGCTTTACAGCACTGAAACTTGCTGCACTCAGGGGTGTGCTTTTTCACAACCCTGAGCGAGAAAGTTGCAGCGCTGCAAATTGCCAGTGTAGACAAGCCCAAAAGCTTTGATTCTGCAGGATTCCTCACAGCTGCTAATTAAATCCACCCTCCAGGCTGGGTGGTGGACACCCTGCTCTAGTGCGTCAGCAGGGAGTGCTGCCTGGGTAGTCAGCCAGCTGTCAATCCAAAACCATGATTTTTCAGCATGAGAATTTAGACAGAACAGCACCTGCAGGTGGGATTTAGCTCCAAGGACATAGGGGCAGGCTCTCCCTTACAGAGCAGAAAGCAGGGAGAGGCAGTGCAGGCCCAAGCCTGGACCACGCAGCTGGCAATCAGCTTAAGAGAGGAGACAAGAAGCACCAGTATCCAGTTATTTCATCTTTATTTACAGGGAAGGGCAGAACAGTACATCAGTCTTGAAAGCCACCTCACCCAGGCTGAGCCTACAGCCCCTAGAAACCTCTCCCCCTCTGTAGGGCTCCAGACACTTGTTACCTAAGGGCTGGCCTCTGGCCCTCTTGGGGCAACCCAGATGTCACTGGGTCTCAGGAGTAGGGAGACTGCCATGCCTCAGGAGTTTGTTGAAGGGGTTTCTGGACAGGGTGCAGGGGAGAAGGGCTTCCCATCCCACGATAGGAGAGGAAGAGAGGGAATGGTTTTGCCCCTGGCAGTGCTGACTTGGGGCATCTGTTCCCTTCCTTGCCCCCTTGTGGTCTCAGAGAGCCTATCACACACCGCGACTTCTCCCATCCCGGTTCAGCTAGAGGAGAGGGAAGAGCCAGCAGAAGGTGAATAATAAGCATCTCTTTTCTCTAAGAAGCCAGGCCTCTAGGTTATTCCTCATTAGTTAGCCCAAGAGCAGGACCATGCAGCAGCCTTGCAGGACTCTAGATGTCCACAGAGGGGCAAGAATAAGCCTGAGCTTTGAAGGCTCACCCCAAAGCACAGGAGCCTGGTACTGAACAGCTCACAAAGACAGTGAGCCCCCAGGGAAGCCACCCAGTCCCATGCGGGGAGCCGCTTAGGGAAAAGGAAAGCAAAGCGCCAGCAGGCTTGAGGGCAGAGGCCACAGCACAGAGCTCAATGGGACATGACAAGGTTAGCACTGGGGGATTCCTCAGTTCTTAAGGGAACCCAAGATGAGCAGAAGAGATCCTTTCCAGTGCTACTCCTTCCCCATAAAGAACCATCCCTTTGCTCCCATTCCCCACCCAATGGAGGCTCTTGGGGGGGGGGGTCCCTATCACCACAGTGATAGCCCCTCAAGCACAGCTGTGCCTGACAGCTGCAGCACTGGCACTAAATTGAAGTCCCATGGTCTGTGCCACATTGTGGCACAGTCACTCACAACCAGCACGGCCACCCGCCCCTCGGAATGAACTGTAATGGCTTTGGTCTCCGCAGAGCTCTGTGAAAAGAGCAAGTGCTTCAGGATACTGTCTCCCAAGGCAATAGTGGCAGGCTGGGGTCCGAACATAGGCACATGTGGGTTTAGCACCTTCTCAGGGAGCAGAGAACTCGCTCCAGGTCCAGTCCAGCTCAGATCCTTAACCAAGCCAATTCTAAAGTAATTTGGAGGGCTAACACCCCAGCCCAATCAGGATGGCCCCTCTAGACCTGCCCTCTACCGTACTCCCAATAGCGGTGACTGCTCAGCCCTTTGCTGCTCTAGTAATAGGGAGAGAGAGGGCACATGCCCAGGGGGCTCTGAGCGAACAGTAAGCCCAATGCTAAGTCGAGGGCCCTGAAAAGAGGTTGCTTTGCCCAGCACCAGCAGGGAGAAGATCCCACCAGCTGGCAAAGAAAGCAGGTAGCAGGGAGAGTGTGGACACAATCTGATCCTCTGGCCCAAATCCCAGCCAAGGCACTCAGTGGTTTGCCCTGGGAGCTTCAAGTAGAAACTGGGCATGGGGCCAGGCTTCTCTAGGGGCAGAGGTTCCACTCTCAGAGGGGCTTGATCTAGGGTGGCCCCAGAGTGCCAGCAGCACTAGGCTCTTCACAGCCAGCTGGGCATGGGACACACACCCCTGTGCCAACACGGCAGTGCCCTGGCATAGCATTACTCTGCAGGGCTTACTGGGAGGGGCTGCTCTGTAGCTTCTAGCCCAACTGCCCTTTCTTCTCCCCGCAGACCAGCTGGGGAGCAGCCTCAGGGATGCTGTAAGCAGAGCTTGAGCTCAAATCCTGCTCATGGAGGAGCAAGGCCCCTTCAGACAGCATGCACGTTTTTCCCCCACCCCCACACACTACACAGGCGCCGCCGAGCTCTCACCTGGCGCTCTTGCTATTTCAGCAGCTGGCCAACGGGTGGTGCTAGAGCACACTCATGTCTATCATATTGCTCCACCCATGGCCCCAGGCCTCCCCCTACCAAAATCCAGGCAGCTGGGGAAAGCCCCCAGACACTTGTAGCCAGACAGGGGCGAGGTGCTCCTGACACCCAGCCGTGTGGCAGGAGTCTGACGGACCAGCAGCTGTTAATAGCCAAGCCCAGAATTTCATCCTTTCAAAATCTCCCCTCCCCTCCCCCCAGCCAGTTCTTTGTGGGATGAATCACTCCAGCCCCAAAACCACAGCCAGCAGGAAGTCAGCTGCAGGACAGGGGCAGTGCTGACTGACTCAGGCAGGAGCACTGGGGAGCCTTGGCAAGACAGGCAGCTAGCAGGGATGGGGGAGGGAAAGCAGAGTAGGAAAGGGCAGCCAAGGTTTCAGCCATCAACCCTTATTCCACCCCTCCCCACCAACCAAACCCAGCACCCTCCTGCAGAACAGGCACAGCAGCTGTGTGACAAGCCACGCAGGCCAGCAGCAAAAGCATCACAGTATGCTCCACAACAAGCCTCCACCCACGCCCCAGCCATGGGGTGGCTGCTTCTGGCTCCTAAGCCACTTGTCACCTAGTTTGAAGCCTTTGGTGCAGTTTCCCCCCCTCCCACACTTACCAGTTCCCCACGCCAGCAGCACCCATGTGTCCCCCTCCGCCCCCCTGTCCCAGCTGCCCTCAGCAATACCAAGCCTGGCAAATACCTTATGGCAAGTAGTTTTACATTGTTCTTTTTACACAAAAATAGAGCGATTCTGTATTGATAGACGGTTCTGTGCAGGAGTGGTTACTGAGCGAAGCCAGCGGTAGGCATCCCCAGCGGCATCTGGGAATCCAGATGCTCCTCTCTCATTTCCAAGATACAAAATTAAAGGCATGTGTCTCCATCTGGTTTCTTAAATATCGGGGTGGGGGTGTGATTGGACACAGTACGGACAGATCAGCTGCAGCAGAGCCCAACCACCATCCACCCCCAACCTCACCCCAATGTCTGGGGTCAGTGTGGCCGGCTACTTGACTCAGAAGGCTGTCTCTGGCATGGAGCGGTGTAGCCATTCAGGCAGCTGTTGATCTGGCGTTTGCTGTGTCCTCCATTCAGAATGTCCTGGATGTGCTGCACGATCAGGTTTATGGCCACTGGGTGTTGGAGAAACAGAGCTGGGGTTAGGATTGTACAGCGTAAATGAGTCCCAAACTACAGAAACGGGGCCACTCCCAGCTCCCTTTGCAATGCAGTGGGGCACACGCCCAGGAGTGCCAGGCTGTCAGCACTGCAGGGAACAGTGACGCCAGCCAAGTCACTGAGTGATAGCTTCCCGCATGCAGGCGGCGCCTCGTCCTCTCCCGCAGCCAGAGAGGAGCCACGCAAGTCAGTGGAGTGACACTGATTCACAGCAGCTGAGGAGCTGGCTTTGCCTCTCTACTGGGACTATCTGAGCATATGTATTTTAGACATACTAAGCCCCCTTTGCCTTAACATGTCTCACTCCAGGAGTTCATGCTGCAGGATACATGCTGCTGAGTTACTGCCTCTTGTACTCTGACTCACACAGTAAGCTGCAGGCTGCCAGCCCACCCATGCAGCAACAGGGAGCATCTAGGAGTTTCCCATGGGAGAGCACCTCCTCCAACCAAGTCTGCAGACCGTAACCGACCTTGAAAGCCAGATATGGGACTCATCACCTTGCTAGGAGCCACACTGGCTCCCATCTAACCCCAGCCCCGCAGGGGTCATTCACGTCCACATGCCAAACAGCAGCCATGGCCCCATTAGTCAGTTTCCCCACATGAAGCCTCCCCATCCATTAAGGAGGAGCATCACTGCTCACCTTCATTATCTGCCCCCCTGGGGATGATCACATCAGCATACTTCTTGGTCTGTGAGAAGAGAGCACGGTGTTACAGGAGAGACCAGAGCATGTAACTGACCCAGCCTTGAAGTATTTTCATTGCTCCTGCACCTCTGAAGATTTCATACCATAATCCAGCAGTGCCAAACCCAGTCAGGCCTCAGAAACCAACGAACCAGCCACCCCACCACAGGACGTTAAACACATTCTGGCGTCTTTTCATTTGCCCTCTTGTTTGAGCTTTAGACTATACTCTAAGCACGTTTTCATGCTTTTCTCCACAACCATGAGGGCTACAAAGTTTCATTAGTAAAAGTTGTGATCAGGTGAGAATCTCATGACTCCGGAAGTTGGTGCTTCAAGATAAACATCCCACCAAAGATCACCAGACTCGCAATAAGGGTCACAGGAGTTGACAAGACTGAGATCACAGGGAGTTTGTGGGGAGAGGCTGCCAACTAGTTTGTTTAGATGGGATTTCAATGTTGCTTACACTACCCTTCTGGAAGGTTAACGATGCAGCATCCCACTCTTTGCTGGCTCACACCTTCCTTCCCCACGATGCCAACGCCAGCTTCATCCCAGTCTTGGCATTTAGCCTGGAGCATAGCGAAGCCACCCACACTGCACTGCTATCAGCAACAAAACCAGAGCACCAGGCCAAGCGTTTAATAGTTGTCGCTGCTGCAGGATCTGCCCTGCACAGCCACACCCTGAGGGCTCCCAGAGGCGGTGGCCAGGCTGTGGAAATAGCCTCTCCCGACAAACTGCTACATTATTCATGGCTTTAGACAATGGCAGTTACGAGAGCCCATTACAGCCTAGCTCTGGCTCTTAGGGCTTATCTACACTGGCACTTTACAGCGCTGCAGGGGTGTGAAAAAACACCCCCCTGAGCACAGCAAGTTTCAGCGCTGTAAAGTGCCAGTGTAGACCGTGCACCAGCGCTGGGAGCTATGCCCTTCATGGAGGTGTTTATATATATATATATATATATATATATATATATATTAAAGATAAACCGCTGGGAGAGCTCTCCCCCAGAGCTGTGCCATGACTACACAAGCCATGTTAAAGCACTGCCGCAGCAGCGCTTTAGCGTTACCAGTGTAGACTAGCCCTAAGACAAGGTGGGGAAAAGTAATATTGTTTATTGGACCAACTTCTGCTAGTGAGGGAGACAAGTTTTCAAGTTACACAGAGTTCTTCAGGTCTAGGAAAAGTACTCTGAGCGCAACAGCTGCATACAAGATCAAACAGATAATGTATACTAACTACTTAAGCTAACCTACCTGTTCGCTCTATATTTAGTTGTGATACTCTGCCTACCTGTCCCACACCCAAAGAGCTCTGTGTGGCTCAAAAGTTTCTCTCATATCAACATAAGATGGTCCAATAAAAGACATTACCTCCCCCATCTTGTGTCTCTATGATCCTGGGACTGACATGGCTACAAGAACACTGCATAGCTATGGATCTGTCAGATTCCAGTCATGGGGATTCCCTCCCAGCCCATCTGACCCGGAGCTTGTTAGAAGATCAGCACCAGGATCACCAGTGCTTACACCAGGTTGCCTGTTCTGCACTGCATGCAAGTAGAATAGCTGCCCCTTGAGCCAGGAGCTTGGAGCAGGGGGTGCAGATCAGTCAGAGACAGGATTCACCAGGGCAGAAGGAGAAGAGATGTTGCTGCCATCTCTGTTGCTCATTCCTCTCCCTGCAGGACCATGAGCAGATTCTGGAAGCAGATGAGGGCAGCTGTGGCACTTTTGCTGGGGATCGATGATCAGGAGAGGAGTGCGCCAAGGTGGCTAGAATACATCTTCTTGCCTCCTTTCTGGAGCCGACTACCTACCCTTCCTGACAGGCCTCTACACCCTTCCCTGACCCTATCAAGGAGGCCGCTAGACTTGGCTCCCATGACAAGTCTGTTCCACTCCATGTCTCCCAGAAGCCAATGATGACTGTGTATGACAGCAGATAGCCGGAAAGGAGGGTCCAACCCTGGACTGTCCCAGAGCCTCCTTACCCAGGCTTTGCATCCCCAAGGGACCCACTAACACAGCTCTCTCTCTGGAGCAAAGCAAGGCTCCCTCCCTGGCTTGAGGGGAAGGAAGTGCAGTGCTGGGAATAGGAAAGAAACAGTTAAGGAGAAGGGTGGTCGAATAGTTGAGGCACTTGACTGAGTCAGGAGTTCTGGGTTCTATTCCCACCTCTGCCACTGACTGACCTGCGACCTTGGACAAGTCACTCCATCTCAGTGTCTTGCTTCCCCCACGTGCAAGAAGGAGATAAAAATCCTTCCTGGCCCATGGCGCAGGGTCAGTCTCTTACTAGGCACATGGCCAGTACCTAGTGCAAGGGGGCCCTGATCTTTGTTCCAGCCCTCTAGGTGCTACCACATAGACTGGCAAGGTGGGCTCCTTGTGTTCACCTCCCAGGCCCCCCGCTCTCCCTCTGCCTTCCCTGGGAGCCAAAACCATCTCCACCTCCACTGGCAGCACCTGAAGTCACTTCAGTTCTGATTCCAGGAATCCACAGCTGGAACCCAGCAAGCTCTTCATTGGCTTTGTAGCCAACCAGAAGTGTGAACCCCAGGCCAAGACCTGCAGCACAGAGCTCAGTCCCCTGCCCCTCCTTTTGGGCCATCCAGAAGGCATGAGCACTGGCTGTGTCCCAGGGGTAGGGAAGGGAACATCAGTGTGTCCCAGCACAACCACAACAGCCTGTAAGCCACTGGGACTATGCACAAGCTGCACCCACAAATAGGGACTTCCCCTGCTGCTGCTGCATCCAGCCGGAAACTCCAGCCACAGGGAAGTGACCATTGAGAGCAATAGACACTGTGCCCTGCCATGCAGCCATCTGTGTCTGCAGGGAGAGAATGCACACTGTCCAGGCTGGCGCTGCCCTGAGCAAAGTGACGTCGCTGCATGGTAGGGCAGGCCCCAGCGAGAAGAGAGCTCCCAGTCAAGGAGCTCCCAGACGGCTCGTGGGGTGGTTGTTTTTTCTCACTCACTGGCAAGCAGAATTCCTCAAAGGCTGGTTTGACGAAGGTAATGTACTGAGACAAGATTTGCTCAAGGTCCCGGCCTCGCTCGCTGATGTCTCGTAACACTAGGAGGAGAAAAACAAGTCAGTCAGGAGCCAATTGCATGGGCCAAAGCATCCCCGCCCCCGTTTCCTAGACAGGCCCCTTTCCCATCACTCTTCAGGCCACACCCCAGGCCGGCTAGATGGCTCACAGTTTAATGCCATTTGGTTGCGACAGCTCCTGAGAAGAGGGGCTGATATTACAGGCCTGAGCCAGGCGGCTGTGCATGTTCCCCCCCTTCTAGGTCTATCAGTGCACTTCAATTCACAACATTCCAGTCCTGCCTCCAGAGTTCTCCCAATGCACCAGTCCCAGCCTACAGCCCTGATGCTACTACATTACTGGGGTGCCCCCATAGCTCTACTGATGCCCCTCAATCCTGACCTGCAGCCCCCTGTTATTCCAGTCATAGGCCCCTCACACAGATCTGTGAATACCCCTGAATCCTGCACTGGCCCCCCAAGGCGGGGACACTCAGAAGCCGAGGCTAACAGTTCCACAGCAGCTTTCGCATTGTAAATTGGATAGTTCTATCTAGGGGGCAGGAACACAAGGGTGGTGGCTCTCAAACCAGACAAGCGACCTCACTAAAGTCTCTAGAGTAGAGAAGTGAAAGCTACCCCACTTCCCCACCATGGACAAGCCACTGCCTTGCTATCCTTGTCTAGCCCCTTTTGGGGGGTGGCTGGTCCGAGTGCAGCTCGTGGGAGGCAGGAGATAAGAGAAGGTTGCATGATGCTTGCGAGTTCCAGGGCTCATTCTGGACCAATTCCAACCTTCCGCACCAGGGCCGGCTTTAGCAAATGCGGGGCCCGATTCCTGGGGCGGCACTTCGGATTGCCGGCTGGGGGAGAGAGGGCTGCGGGGCTTGCCGTGGTCCGACCGGGGTCACAGGGCTGCCGCAGTCTGGCCGGAGCTCTGGCCAGGGGAGCGGGGCCCCCCAAAGACGACCGCCGCCAGGGTGAATGCGTGGGGCCCTCTTAGGCGCGGGGCCCAACTCCGGGGAATCGGGCAAATCAGCCTAAAGCCGGCCCTGTTCCCCACAAACTCCTGGTTGGTAGCAGCAGAGGACAGTCTCCACCTTCTCCTGGTGGTGAGACAGCCGGGCCTTGCCTGCACTGGAGATTCCTGCTGACTCCAGTAATTGGCTGTAACCGCCCCAGTGAAGACAAGAGAAACAGATTCACACCAGTGCAGCTTCTTTCTTCCTCCCATGCTTTGCCCCTCTACATGAGGGACTGGCCCTGGTGCAGCCACCTGATGGCTGAAGTTGGGGCAAACCCACAGAGCAGACAGTGCTGGGCTCTTTTCAGGAAGAGCTTGAAGGAACTTCTCCCCCAGCATGCAAGGGCAGCATGGAGCAGGGTGCTCGCAGCACCAGCCAGCTGGCTTTTTGTGACAATTGTCAGGAGCCAGGCAGCCTCCGAGCACAGCGGCCTCCAGGGCTGCCCAGAGGATTCAGGGGGCCTGAGGCAAAGCAATTTTGGGGGCCCCCCTTCCATAAAAAAAAGTTGCAATACTATAGTAACATGTATTTGGAAATGTAAACAATAACCAGTGAAATAAAACTTTTTGAATGTAATAATTTGAAAATACACAAAATACATTTAAAAACATTAAATTCTTTAATACATTTGCAATTACATAATGGGCTGTCGCTGGGTGATGGTTGGTGCCAATGGGCTGTCGCTACCTGGGGGTGGTGCTGCTGTTGCCCAGGGCTGGGTGGGGAGCTGGGCTCTGGGTCAGGGGGGGCCCGGCTCAGAGGGGCTGGGCCAGAGCTGGGGGTCAGGTGTCTGGCTCAGAGGGGCTTACCATGCTGCTTACTCCCACCTCTCCTAGAGCCTCAGCGC